CAGAATTAGAAATTAAAAGTGATCTGCAGATAAGTTTTTTAAAATTTATGGATTTGTAAGCACCAAAAATCCAAGGATTTTTTTGTTTTTGTTTTTTAAGAGACTGGGTCGTACTCTGTTGCCCAGGCTGGCCCAGTAATAGCACACTGTAATCTCAAAGTCCTGAGGTCAAGCAATCCTCCCACTTCAACCACCGAATTAGCTAAGACTACTATGTTGCCCAGACCGAAAGTTTACTGCAACAAAATTCCCCTCTAAATCTAGCAAATACATTGCTATCTTCATTCACCAAGTCTTTGCTGCATGCATACCCTTATGTACACACCTTAGTAATAAGCTACCTTCCTTATAGGGGTGGGCAGATTATATGAAGCATTTGTAAAGTTTCTAGCACATAGGCGATATTCACTAAGTGTTTGTAAGATGCTGGCTTCGTTCCAGAATAATACTGTTGGGCATCAGAAACACAAAGATTGATACATTCTCAGTCCTCAAAAAGTTTATTTGCTTGGGACCAGAGGCGGAAAGAGCTTTTTAACACTAATTTGATAAAAGACCTGTTGGGCAGATTTGCAAAATTGTGTCAATTGGGAGGACTCAGTCTTTTCCATTAGTTTGAACAAAGGTGACTGTAGAAATGAAAGTGATTTAACATATCCAACTGAGAACATCGTGTCCAGCAAGTAGAGTGAATTGTACATACCTGTGTCTATTCTCTTTTGTCTGAAGAACTTCCATCTAAGTACAAGTATTTTTTTAGAAGCCTGAGACTTTAAAGAACTAAACCTTGTTTGTTATGACTGTGGTCCCCAATCCCCAGGTCCACAACCTGTTAGGAACCAGGCTGCGTCAACCACCTGAGCTCCACCTCAGGGTGGGAGAGCGAAGCTTCATCAGTATTTACAGCCACTCCCCATGGCTGGCATCACCACCTGAGCTCTGCCTCCACCACCACCACCCGCCCCCTGTGGAAAAATTGTCTTCCATGAAACCAATTCCTGGTGCCAAAAAGGTTGGGGACCTCTGTGTTATGACTAAGAGGATTGGTAGTATTTTGAGGATTTGTGTAAAGCATTATTGTCATATTCTTTGAGATACTTTCCTGCCAATATCAAGCACTAGTTTTTCGATTTTTTTCAGTGTGGTAGTGGTGGTTCCCTACCTATGAGTGGAGGGCCCTGTGGATCTTCAGAGTATTATGGGGAGTCTGTTAATTATTTCCTATGTTTTGAAAGCCTACAAGAAATCATGTACTTTCCCATAATATGACTATATAGGCCAAAATGACAGGTTATTTTTTGCTCTGGATTAGAAATAGCATTAACTCTTAGTAAAACTGATGATATTTATGTTCAAATATAAATGGAAGCCTTCCCTAATGTACCCCAAAAGTGAGCTAAGTGATCCTTCTCTGTGCGTACTTTCACTTCACTTTCCACATGACAGTATTTCTTTATAAGTCTCTGAAATATAAACTGGCAAGCATTCATTCAACATAGAGTGGTCTTACTTTTCTTGAAAGCTTCAAACTTGTTCTTATCCTTAGGGCCTTTCTGATTTGTTATTTCCTCTGTCTGGAATGCTCTTCTCCCAGAAATGCAAATGGCTTGCTCTCTCCTTTTACTAAGGTCTCAGCAAATAACACCGTCTCCCCCATCTCCTCTCCTATTTTATCTCATCACAACACTTTACTTCTTACATCTGTATCTTTGTTTTTTGAGAGTTTGCCATACTAGATCTGAAGTTTTATGAGATCAGAGACATTGACTTCCATTTCCCTGATATATTTCTCACAATTAGGAAAATCCTTAGAACACAGGTACATAATATTTGAAGAAATTTGTGAAGTTTCTGACTGCCTCTTAAGATATGGGAGATACAGTGCATGAGACAGGCATGATCTATAGTCTTGTTTAATTGAGAGCCTAAAGAAATCTAAAGTGATTTAAAAGTAGTATAGATTTGGCTGTATTTGTTTTTTGCTTTGATGTATTTGTTA